GCTGGTGGAAACGATCCACGTGTTCAAAACTAGCTTTATCAGTGACTGAAAACACGATGAGAAAGCCGTCTCCTGTCCTCATGTACTGCTCTCTCATCGCACTGAACTCCTCCTGCCCCGCCGTGTCCAGAACTACACACACACACAGCATTTACATTATTGTAAAAAAAATATTAATAAAAGATTAATAAACACTGGATAAAATAAGCACAAACACAAATATACACAGCAAACCCTGAAAGTTTTGTATTTACTTCATTTATTTACTTAAATTTCTATTGACTTATTTTATTGACTCTTTTATTTTTAAACGAAACCTTTCACTCTTTGTTATGTTGATAATATTTGAATGTAGTAAAGTATTTTACATTAATATATATATATATATATATATATATATTTCTTTTTTATATATTATATTAAAAGGTAAAGGTAAAAATATTTGACAAATTCATAAATTAAATCAAATTAAATTACATTTTTCCATTTTATTTCTTAATGTATGGTTTATCTTTTGTACTGTACAGGGTATTATATTCAAATATTTTTTCTTATTTTAATATTACATTAAAAGTTAAAATTAAATAATTGACAAATATATAAATATGTATTAAATTAAGCTTTTAAAAAAATTTTATTTCTTAATTTATGATCTCTCTTTCTATTACACTTAGTATCGTATTACTTATTTTCATATATTATATTATATTACATTTATATCTTAATTTATGATCTCTCATTGCATTGCACTTGGTACTTATTTTTGTATTTTAATATATTATATTGTATTATATTTATTTCTTAATTTATGATCTCTCTTTGTATTGCACTTGGTATCATATTTATTTTTGTATTTTAATATATTATATTAAAAGTTAAAAGTAAAACAAATGTGTAAATATGCATTAAATTAAGTTTTTAAAAATGTATTTCTTAATTTATGATCTCTGTTTGTATTGCACATTATAGCATATTAAATGTTATTTTTGTTTTAACATATTATACTAAAAGTTAACAGTAAAATATCTGACAAATTTATAAATATATTAAATTAAGCTTTAAAAATCATTTCTTAATTTATGACTTCTCTTTGTATTGTACATTGAACTATTTATTCATAACTAAAACCAAAATTAACTGACATAAAATGCAAAAATGTTTATAAAATATAAATAAAAACCTCAAAATCTAAAAATAAGAAATGTTGCCTTATCAACTAACTGAAATAAATCACTGGTGACAAAAGCGCATAACAAACTAAAATAAAAACTATAAATATATCAATTAAAAAGCAAATTCAAAATATTAATAAATACTATAATAGTATATAAATAATAATATCACTAATAGTATAAAAATAATATAAAAATTACACAAAATATGCTTGTGGTATATAATACAATATTTGAGATATTTTTCTCTTTCATTTATTTTTCTTTGCAACTTTTATGGCTTTAATATTGTGTCATTAAAATGTCTTAAATATTTAGTCGTATTTAATTGTTACTAATGTTTTGTGCTCACAGAAATCTTTATTGTCAGAAATGACGACTGTATGATTCTCTGTTGTGTGTTTAATAACTGAAGGCCCTCACCGTCCAGAATGGCCCACTGGCCGTCGATCTCAGTGTGTTTGAGGTACGAGTCCTCGATGGTGGGGTCGTAGTCCGAGACGAAGATCTTCTGGAAGAACTGTATGGTGAGCGCGCTCTTCCCCACGCCGCCGTCTCCCACCACCACCAGCTTATACGTGGGCAGGTTGTCCCCGGGAACCACGCTGGTCGCCATGGAGACAGCTACACCTGCAATACAGAGGAAACGCTGCGTGATGAGAGACGCTGCCTTCGATTTGATAGTAACACGTACAAACGCAGTGTGTGTGTTTGTGCTGAAACAAATTAAACAAACCTGTTTCAGATAATCAGCTGAAAAGATTCCGTTTGAAAAAGTACATTTGCGCTTTATGGAGTTTCTTTGTTATCAGAACACACAATGTAAATTTTTTATTTAAAAAAAATATATATTGTTTTTATTGTCATTAATAATAATTCTTATATAAATTATGGTTATTGTGATTATTATTGTTGTTGTTATTGTTATTAAAATATTGAGTTTAAAGATTAAAAATAATATTTATTATTATTATTACTATTATTGTTGTTGTTAAAGTATTATTTAAAATAACTATTTGTTGGTTTGCATTTTTGTAAAAAAAATTATATGAAATAATAATAAAAGGATGTATCAGTAATAATTATGGATGTAACGATTCACTCAACTCACGATTCGATTCACAATTTTGATTTCACGATTCGATTCGATTCGATTCACGGTTTAAATTTTTTTTTTTTATATATATACAAAATGAGATTTAAGACAAATTATAAATTAAATGTGTCCTTTTATTATTGCTTGGACAAAATGCTGCACATTTCTTTGTGAAATTGAAATATAACTATAATAATATACTAATATAGCACTTGCATTTTATTGCTCTTTTGTTGGTTTTGATTGCTTCATTTGTAAGTCGCTGTGGATAAAAGCATCTGCTAAATGACAAAATGTAAATATAATGTAAATAACAAAACTACATTTAAATTTTAAAATAATCCCAAAATCAAATAAATAAGTAACACAAATAAAAGAAATCTCTTCATATAAACAAACTAAGGCTTTGTCTGTGCTCTTTCCATTTAAAATTAGAGGCAACCACT